CGATCATATTCAATTATGAGAGCGTTTTGGGTAATCCACACATGTATACATAAGCCATCATCATCACATTCCACCTCTACTCACCATATTTATATCACTAACAGAGTGACGAAGAGCTGCGCCTGTGGGAGGGTCTGTACAAGTCTGAAGGAATTGCCGTCAATAACACTCCCACAGCCTACCTGCGCTATTTGGCCCTGCACTCAGTCAGCAGACGCACACTCAATCCCTTCTACTCAGGCGAACACGGAGTTATCATGCGGGACGAGGTGCAAGGTGTGGACCCTACTCAGAAGTATATAGGAAGCTGTAGTAGTATAGCTGTAGTAGTATAGTATGATATGCATAGTTTATGGTTTTTTAGTATTATATGCATAGTTTATAGTAGTATAGTATGATATGCATAGTTTATGGTTTTTTAGTATTATATGCATAGTTTATAGTTGTATAGTATTATATGCATAGTTTATAGTTGTGTAGTATTATATGTATAGTTTATAGTTGTATAGTATTATATGCACAGTTTATAGTTGTATAGTATAATATACATTGCTTATAGTGGTATAGTAGGTATCATATTATTGCCTACCACTTGTCAACACCCCATCATTATGCGTGTATGCTATTCACTTGTTCTTCATTTCCTCCAGCCATCTCAACTGGCAGCCATGTGGCCAATGGTACCATCGCGTCGGGTCTCACCGCCGCTGCTGTTAATGAACTGTTGGACGAAAAGTACGTGACACAGCTACAGTATAGTGAACTTAAGCATTATATGGTTTATGATATTCATTGTATGCTGTGTGTTGTTCATGATATGTTGTATGTTATACGTTATATGCTCAATGTTGCATGGTATACATTATAGATTATACAGGTTGTATGTTGTATGTTATACATTATATGTTTATTATTTAGTGCTGTATGTTTTACATTATATGTTTAGTGCTGTATGTTGTATGTTATAAATTTTGTGTTCAATGTCGTTTTTTGTATGTTAGACAATATATGTTTAGTGTTGTATGTTGTATGTTATAAATTTTAAGTTCAATGTCGTATGTTGTATGTTATACATTATATGTTTATTATTGAATGCTGTATGTTATACATTGTATGTTTAGTTTTCGTATGTTGTATGTTATAAATTTTATGTTTTATGTCGTATGTTGTATGTTATGCATTATATGTTTAGTGTTCGTATGTTATACATCATATGTTTAGTGTTCGTATGTTATACATTATATGTTTAGTATTGTATGTTGTTGTTATACATTTTACATTAAAGGTTATATTTGTAAGTTATACATGGTACAGTTTTTGTTGTATGTTAATAATATATGTTGTATGTTGTATTATATACATTATTAAGTTACATGTTGTATGTTCTTCATCATATGTTTTATGTTATACGTCAAACTTTATATGTAACCAAAAAATAGGACTAGGTTATGTTATTGTAAACCTCGAAAGTTGTCTGTAGTAGAAATCACTTGTGAATCTCCGAAGTTGCAGTTAGTGACCAACCAAGTGGTATTGTGAACTTTCGACGTCCTAGTTAAGACAAGTATGTCATTAGAATCACCAAATCGAAAGCAGATAACTGCGACGAGTACAGTGGTTCAACTCAACGCTTTTGACAGCTGCAGTCAGTGCATAGCAAGCAGTATGCACCTGCTTGCGAGACCCATCGATTGGGTTGAGAGCTATGTGCTTG